GGAGACACATGACACATGCTGAGGCTATGGGTAAGGCCCAGGTACCTATTCCGTTCATGTGGGTCAGAAAAATAAATGCAGAGGAAGCAACGTCACAAAAAGCTGATGACAAGTGAAGGGTACAGCTCGTGCAACATCCCTGTAGCCCTCAAACTTCTCTTAATACAAAAATTCGTGGAAAAGACTAAGTGACATGTCCAGGAAATGAAAAACACATCTAAGAAGAACTGTACCACCACTTGGCGGCAGGAGGGGAGGGCGTGCGCATGCGCCCCTGGAGAGGTAAGCAGAGAAGGGGAGGTTGTGGGTCTCACACAGAGCTTGATTTTCTGAGTGAAAGGCACCAGGAGATGGCCCTGCGCCCTAGAGCCCGGGGGGGGGGCACAGCTTTTACCGGAAGTCGCTGAGGAAGCGCTGCAGGTCGTGGGAGTCGCCCAGCTTGGCCTTGCGCTGGTCCGCGCGCTTCCCCAGGCTGCTCCATGCCTGGTTCAACTCCGTGCATTTTTCCTTGAGGTCTTCTGCTGACTCAGGGTGGGACTGGATCAGGCGCTGGGCCGTCTCCCCAAGGGAATTGACCTGTGGGAGGAGAGCAAGAAACAAGAGCGCTCAGCTGGGGAGCCTTTGCACGTGACTCCGCTGGGGCCATGGCGTCTTCGCACCTTGTCTCCAAGCGCCGCGAGGTCCCTCTCGAAGCCCTCGTGCTTGCGCTGCAGGGCTTGGACACTGGCAAGATCGTGGCCGTAATTATCTGTGTTCAGAGCCTGGTTCTTCTCCTCAATCCACTCTTTGGTTTCATCGGCATCTCTGCAGGTGAGACATACTCCAGGTTAATAAAGGCCGAGAACAGCTGCCGCGACGACAGGACGAGCAGGGGTTTTGCTCAGCGGACAAGAACACTGTGGGGGATACCCCAAGTGCGCTAGAAGGCGAGACCTCCTCTTCCCGAGCAGCGCCGCTGAGTCGGGTGCTCCTGGGGCCAGAGCACAAGTGCCAACCCGGCACAGCAGGCAGAGGTCTCAGCCAGCGTATCTGGGAAGCGTGGGTGGGAACCCCCTCCAGCCCACACTGCCCCTCACCTGTGGAACCTCTGCACCTCATGGGCGCTGCCCAACACCTGGCTCCGCTCCTCGGCCAGCTGCTGCAGGGACCGCCAGCGCTCGTTCAGCTCCTGCAAGGCGACAGCGCAGGTGAGCTCTTCTGTGAGCCCTCTGCCAGCACACCAGGCTCCAGGAAGGGCCAAGGCCCAGAGCTCTGGAGGCCACACCTGAAAGGCTGCGTGCATAGGTAATTTCCTGTTTCCCGCCTTCCTAGTGGACACAATGAATGCACAACTCCAGCAAACGTCCAGAAAGTCAGACCTTCACCAAAATTCTACCAACACCTGACCCGGAAGCACTTCTGAGGCAGCTGGAGAGACGCAGCTGATTTATCTGACTCCACACCAAGCCCACTAGCCCTTCAGCATGGGTTTTGTAGTAAGTGCCGAGTGGATACATCCCAGGATCTCTGCTCTCCCAGCACTGAGCACATGGGCACCAGAGAGGGAGCTGAGCCCCTGCTATGAGGAGGCGAGAAAGGCATGGACCATGGACCGCCTTCCGGAGCAGACGCCCCCTGCAAGCCAGGGGAAGACCAGCTCTGTCACCAAATGGAAAGGCCCCGCCAGGAGAGGCGGCCAAGCCAGCTGCTGCCATGAAGACAGCTGCTCTGACCTGGGACCCAGGAGGTGACAAGTGCACAGCTGATGTACTGATTAGGACAGAGCTCCGCTGAAGACAGAAAGAAGCCAGGGAGGAAAGCCAGGGTATGGGCCAGTGTTTCTTACCTTGATGGAATTAAAGGTGGCCACGGTGTGAACCATCAGGCGAGCAGACTATGGAGGGGAGGAAAGCAGAAGAGCAAGAATAATCAAGTGTCTGCCAATTATGGCACAGAAATTTGAAATTCAAGCACCATTAATTAGGCCCCAATTGTCAACCAAAATTACCTTAAAGGGATACTGTCAAAATTTTAAGCAGGAACATTAGTAAACTACTAGAAAATCATGGAAAAACCCAAGTGCACAATCAGACCCAGCTCAATGGTTATTTTTGGAGAGTAAGTGGGGAGAACCACAACTGAGACCACTGCTTAGACAGGAAAACAGCCAAAGACAAAGGAGCAGGTCTTTTTCTCCCCTACACCACAGAGCAGTCCAGAAGACACACTCAGTTTAACAGATGCTGGTGGCTGACACTGATATTAACAGTGAAATACACCTATCATTTCACCTCTAGGTGTGGTTACTGGTGCTTTTGAACAGTGTCCCCTTGAACTAAGGGCAACAGCCTTACCAGATGGAAGAACAAACCAGCGAAACGAGCTTTCTCGTAATATAGCTGCTGCTTTTAAAAATAAACTTCTCTTGGATCTCAGAGCCTAGCTGGTTTTTTCTGAAAGACCCTGGGACACAGGACAGCATGTGACCTGCACGCACGCACGTGGCCCCAGCACTATCACCAGTGTGGGCATGCACAGGGTTCAAGGGCAGACCCAGCCACCAGCCACTTCCAGACGGGGGTGTCTGTGTTTAAAAATCCATCTGATGTACGTTTCTGAAAGAATACTTAAGTGACCAGAAGTCAGAGGTAATGCTGTTGCCTATTCATGTCACCAATGATTAAATTTTGCTTTGTGAGAAAATTTAAAATTGAGAAAAGGGGCCTCCCCGGTGGCGCAGCGGTTGAGCGCTGGGTTGCGAAGCTGCCCGCAGCCTCTGCAGCGCCGGTTCGATTCCCGGCTGCTCCCCGGCCACCAGAGGAGGGTCCCACATGGTGCGCAGACCTCTCCTGCCGCCCGCTGCTCCCCTCAGCAGTGTACTTCGGTCCTTCTGCCTGCTCTGCTCCCTGCTCTGGCTCTGGTGAATTCTCTCACCCTCCCGCGCTTCTGACTGTACCCAGTGCATGTATAAACGAAACAAACGAACAAACAAACAAATAAATAAATAAATAAATAAAACATGCCTCTATAAAAAAAAAAAAAGTTTAAAAAAAAAAAAATAAAATAAAATTGAGAAAAGGGGAAAAGTGGAATCAACTGGAAAAGTCACACCCCCTTCCCCAGCCAAATTTAGAGTCTATTCCATGAGCAGACCAGCCCGAGGGGAGATGCAGGTAGGGAGGTGGAAACAGCAGGACAGAAGTAACAGGCCCTTCAGCTTAGGTCAGACAAGAGGGCTGAGGTGAGAACAGCCATCCTGGAGGCTGGAGGGTTTCTAGATTTTCACACCTTCCTTTCTCAGGAAGGTGGACTCTCAGAAGGGAGCAACCTGCTCTAACTTGCCTATAACCAGGAGGAAAGATGCTAGGGTCATGCTTTACGCAACCAGTCCCAGGGTCAGAGCTATCCAACTCCAGGCAAGAAGCCTGTGCCCTGTAAGCCATTCCTCTTCTTCCTTGTAAGTCTCTCCTCACAATCTGCTTTATTCTGTGAAGCCTTTCTTAGGTCACAGGAAAAAGAGCTAGATAGCTGATGAAAGGCAACTCTGCCTTCCTTTTAATTCTGTCAGCTTTCCCATCAAGGGCCAAGAACTTTTTGAAGGCGCTTCCACTGGTGGGGCCAGCCCTGACTACACGGTGCCGCCTTAGCCAAGTGTCCTCTGGCAGCAGCACGGGTGATGATGCATCTGCCCCAGCTTGCACTGAGGTCTGAGGGGAACACTGCTTCTGTGTATGAAGCATCACATTTTAAGAGATAACAGCTTCATAAAATGTCCGGAAGAAACCAGCCCCATCAGGTCTAGAGACCACCACAGGCTCAACACAAGTCTGAACTCTCAGAAACAGGCTCACCAGGGAAGGACACTAAGTGTTTAATTTGTGGAAGCCTCTGGAAACATGACCTAGGGGCATCTTACCTTCCACGGAGAGGCACTCTTGGTATCCGCTTCGTCCTGTCACAGAAAGAGGAGTTCAGGCAAGTGAGGACACAGTGCTGACCATCTGCCTTTCCTTCTAACTGTGAGGCAGTGAGAAATGCCTGCAGGGCTTCCCCCAGACTCTAGCAGTCTGGCTGGGACAAACACCAGCTGCCCAGAGAAGTGAGGAGAGCAGAGGACAGGACCAGGCTAATTTTTTTATGCAGAAGAACAGAGAGAATGAGGAAATTTAATTTAAAAATGATCAACCTGTGTTACATTCATGGACTTGGAAAGGGGTAATTTAAACCTAATGGATAATTGGGCCTCCCTGGTGGCGCAGCGGTTGAGCACTGGGTTGCGAAGCTGCCCGCAGCCTCTGCAGCGCCAGTTCAATCCCCGGCTGCTCCCCGGCCACCAGAGGAGGGTCCCACATGGCGCGCAGACCTCTCCTGCCGCCCGCTGCTCCCCTCAGCAGTGTACTTCGGTCCTTCTGCCTGCTCTGCTCCCCGCTCTGGTGAATTCTCTCACCCTCCCGCACTTCTGACTGTACCCAGTGCTTGTATAAATAATAAATCTTTAAAAAATAATAAAATAAAATAAACCTAATGGATAATTGCAGAAAAAGTGTGAAGAGACCAAAGAAAAGAACTTTTTTGGTCTTTTGGAGAACAGCAAATAGAACCAATTTCTAATTCTTTTCCACACAAAACACCTGTGAGGCTCTGCAACAGAAACCCTTAACAGGCACTGGACTGCACATGCTTCCCCAGAGCTACTCCCCATGCAGCAGCGGGCACTCACCCTGGGCATCGCGCCGTACACCTCCTGCAAGAGAGGAAGACCGGGGGGTTATAGGAGATACACACACCTCTCAGCAGTGCCCACTGAGTCCAGCCTAAAGGCACAGGTGAGAATCACAGAAAGAGGGACAGCCCCATCGGGTTGAAGAGCTTCCCGAAAGTCTACTGGAGACCAATGCTCATGGGTAAAGCTTTTCATTTACGTGAGCAACACATGAGTTTACCGCCAGCGATGGCCTTTTCATGATGTTTCATGGGCTCAAGGGTGTGGAAGTAAGGGCGCTGGCCCACGGAAGCTGAACACAATGGTTTAAGTCACAAAGGATGCGACATTCCCTGGTGACAATTCTGCACTACGGACCAGGGCTTGTTGGGCTGTGAAGGATGCAGGAAGGAACCAGGTTACGTCCCTGTGGCCCAGAGGCTGGTCCAAGAGCAGACACCCACCTGCTGCTGCACAGCCTGCACTTCCTCCGCCATCAGCCCTTCTGACTCCAGATCTTCTGCCACCTTATTAATGTCCTTCAGCCGTGACTCGTTGGCCTTCAGATCCTTTAAAGCAAAAAACACAGTAACTGAGACCACAGGAGCAAGGCAAAAGCAAAGGGGCACAGGGCTCATGAATGACAGCTGGAAACGCTGACTTTCTGTGTGGTAAGTATCCAAGAAGCTGGCTTCCTAGTCCCCCGACAGTGACTGTGTGGTACGTATCCCAGAGGCTGGCTTCCTAGTCCCCCGACAGTGACTCGAGACCGGCAGTCTTGACTGTCACTATCAAGAAGTGAGAAAATATGAGGTGACCACAGTTTGAGTGTCTCAAACTTATTTGGTTACTGTAATTAACAAACCATGATGCTAACTGCATGGATTGTTAAAGAAACCTTTCTTTAGGGAGGGAACACACTGTTTTTAGAAAATGTGTTACTTTAATGCCCAGCCACTATGGGAGAAACATTCCCCCCCAGCCCTTTTCAATTGGTAATAAAAATACTTTTAAACTGGAAAATGGACAAACAAAACGTGGTATATGCAAACTGAGTATTATTCAGCCACAAAAAGGGAGCACTAACACCTCTACCCAGCAGGCCCTGGAAACACTGCTCAGTGGACACGATAGGTCATGAGATGCTGCATCCAGAATGCATGAATAGAGACGAGCAGCATGCAGCGGTGGCCAGGGCATGGGAACGGAGGGGTGGCGAGGGTTTGTGATGGCTGTGTGGTTCTCCTTTGAAGTGTAACATTTTGGTGCTAGGCAGAGGTGATGGCTCAACAACACAGAATGTACACGATGCTTCTGAATTGTACACTTTACTCCTTCCATCTTTTCATATTTTTAGATTTAGAAAAGTTCTTAGCATGAGAGAAAATGATGTGTTTCCCTGACACGAACTGGCCCAGGACAGCAGAAGTCACGTGAGACTGCGAGGTCGGAGGTGGGGCACACTTACTGTTCTCTCTCACAATCTGTGGTCACAAGTCAAGAGAACCAAGCCCTTGAACAGTATTTATTTCACCACAGCTGCTGGACTGCCCTACCTTCTGGAAGTCGTCGAACTTCTTCTGCAGCACCTCCACCTGCTCTAAGTCTGCGCCCACCTCCTCGCTTGTCAGAGCAGCTTCCTTCTCGTTGATCCACTGCTGTAGTTCGTTCGCTTCACGGAACAACATGAACTTCTTGCAACTCTTCTCCAACATACCTTTACGCTTCTCGCCCAGCTCCAGCAGAGAATGGTATCTGGTGCAGCAGAGAGAATAAGAAGGGCAAGGAGACAGTTAGCTTTCTAGAGAGGCCAAGATAAAGGCAAACACCAGGTGTCTCCGAGATGTCGATCCCGGCCATGAACGCGTGACAATGGCGCCCTGGTGACAGAGTGCTGGACAGAGATGAAGATGAAGCACCGAAGGGCCACAGGGTGCCTCGGGGATGAGCACCCACTGACTGCTCACAAATGGGTGGCCAGATCAGCAAGACACCCCTGGCCGCATTTGCACTCACAACATCATGACCACACACAACCCAAACGTAGCATTCAGCACACATGGGCTCTGGCGGCCGCAGGGAGTGGAGCGTGCCAGGCACAACACCCACAGGGGCTCCTCCACTCGCTCCACGGGCAGGACGAGGCGTGGGAAGGGGATGGAGCTTCAGCGCGGCCTGGGGGAGCACACCGGGCCCTTGGGACAGCAGGGGCTTCCCTATGTCTCAACCTCAGGGGAAAAGGAAACAGGTACAGGCTGCCTGTTACTACTTTGTCAGCTGGCAGGTCTCTTAAGAAGAACCAAAGGGTGTTCTAATCTTCGGGAAATAATACAAAAGCCGAACACCTGCTCTTCAGAGATGTGAAAATGAAAAACCCAATAAAACTGAGTTAAATGGTTAAAAAAAAAAAATCTATATTCACCATCAAATCAAAGCTGCCCAGAGGGGGAAATAAAAAGCAATGCATTACCAAGAACCACAGCACTTTACAGAGAGGCATGTCCTTTCCCTCCTACAGAGGGACACTCCCGACTGGCCATAGACCTGCGCCAGTGTTAGCACGACCATGTGGGCCCGCGGAGAGGTGGGCCACAACACTGAACATATAGCCGCACGCAAGGCCACCATGAGGAAAGGGGCCGTCAGGGCCAGCGCCACCGACACCTCCTCCCGTGTGAGCAGAAGCTGCTGCACAGAAAGGCTCCCCCCTCCTCATCTGTCTGGATGAACGAGACCCTTCTGAGAAAAGCGGCTGAGGGAGAACAGACAAGGTGGAGCATGGACACGGTGCTCAGCGAGGCTTGTGGCCTACTCACAGTTCTTCCACCTGTTTCATACGCAGAGATACACTGCCGGCCTCCTTAGTTATGCGTGTCCTGCACAGGGGGGCACAGCAAAAGCATGCACGAGTTAGTGGATTAATCGAGAGAGAGGAAAAGCGGTGCTCCGATGGTGCCAGGACGGCCGAGGCTTAGAGGGGAAATTAGGGAGTCATTCAAAGCTCTTGGAAGCAGGCCAGGCCATGAATGAAGTCACAGTCAAGAAACAGCACGAAAATTAAATGAGAGGGTTATTACTTCACCTTTACTTTCCTGAAAAATTGGCCACTCTAAGGGCAGTCAATTCGTCCGTACTGGACAAACTGGTGAGGGCAGAGAGCAAGGCCAGAAATAAGCACTGCCCTGAGAGAAAGCCTTTCCTGAGAGCTAATCTGCAACATTAGCCACATATTTGGTCAACTTATTGCTCTTACACGTCTGGCCCAGGCCCAAACCTCTCACTCTCACCTCTACAGGCCTAGCAGGAGTCTGTTAGTAAACACAGAACCTTTCCAGGGGTAGACAGGGTCAAATAATTCTAGTCTACACTCCAGTGAGAGCACATCTCTCCTGGGGCCCACGGCTTTCAACAGGGTTAAAACATGCCCTCACGAAAGGACAAGGCCAACGTGGGGCTCAGCTTTGAGAGAGGAAGAGTCCTCCCATTCTCCTGACACAAGGCATGGCAGAGGTGTACTCCCGAAGAGCAATTTAGAGAAGGCAGAGCGGTGAGGGTGTGGAACACCTAAAAATCCGATTTCAGAAAGGATCTCCTGAAGGGCAGGACAAAGGTTAAGATAATGATTTAAACAATGCAGCTCAGACAGTCATGAGCGTGCAGGGGAGGGGAGGCACACAACACACTGGAAACAGGTATCCGGCGGGGATATTCGTTCCAAATAGAATGTTCTGGGTTAACTAGGACCTGGGATGGCAGGGAAGTTCATCCTGGGGTACAGGCAGAGGAACGTTCACTAAGGAAGCCTGTGGAGGCCTCTGCAGGCTGAGCCCCAGGGGCCTGGAGCTATGGGATGGACAGACAGACACAGCCCTTACTGGTTGTCAATCTGCTCCTGCCTCAAGGCGATGCTGCCCTGCTCCTCCAGGAGGCTCTCCCGGGAGGCCGACTGGGCAGGGTCCAGCTTCCTCACGTAGGCAGCCGGCACGAAGCCCTGCCGGTCGTTCACCTCCACCTTCCACCAGTCCTAGGGGAGGAGAGTAGGAAAGAGGGGGCTGAAAGCAAGGCCCAGGTGAGGAGGATACCTGCTGCCCACGTGTGCACGCACACAGACAGGCAGTGCCCGTGAGAGCCGCAGCCATGCCAAGAGGACCCCACTGTCGCGTCACGGGGCTCTGCACAAGGACTGACATTTGCTCCCTTACAGCCTGCCAGGCAGGGAGGGCGGCCACAAGTGAGGCAGCAGTGAGCCCACAGGAAGGACACTGTCTGCCCAGGACTGCAGAACCGTGCTGCCCATGCCGTGGCCACCAGCTGCAGGCAGCGCAGTAACTGCAAAAAACAAGCACTAAATGACTCAGCAGCACTCGCCCCATTGTAAGTGCTAGCAGCAAGTCACTATAGGCAGGGTCAGTCCACATGTAGCAAACGCCTACTCTCACTGGAAAGTTCTGTGCTGCTCCTGAATAAGCTGAAGGTAGGCCAGAGGGTTGGTTTAGGTTTAAACCAGAGTCATCAGAAAGAGAGAACTCACGGGTTTCTGCAAACTCTTACGATGAGAAAACACAGGGTGATGGGAACAAGGAGGTTCTCAGGAGCTGAGGACAGTCTCCAGCCTTAACCCAGAGGGGAGGGAGCATCTCTGGGCCCAGCCATACCTCCACACCTCCCATAAAGGCGACCATGAGACCAGAGGGTGCCAGGGCAGGAGGGCTGACCAGCCAGGCGTTGTTACCCAGAGTAGCAGAGTAGCCAAAGCCCAGTGGTGACACCTTTGCTGTCACAGTACCACGTGCAGCAGCCAAGGCAGACTGTCACCTCCATGCTTGCACTCCTCAGAGGAGAAACCCACACCAAGTGTCACTGCAGACTCTACACCCGTCTCACTAGGGAAAAGACACCCCCAGGGTCTCTTCACTGGGAAACACAGGGTTGACGGAAGCGCACACCCCACTTGCAGCCTTGCCTTGTTGGTGCTGTTCAGCAAGGTGAGGATGTCCCCTTTCTTCATGGTGACCTCTCGAGGACTCTTCTCCTGGTAGTCATAGAGCGCCAAGACCAGCTCCTTTCCAGTCTCATCATCCATGGGGGCCACTTGTTGCTAAAATCCGAAGGAAAGGCAAACACAGTCAAAGGCTGGCCAGGAAGGGTCATCTAAGCCCTTAGCAGCTGACCAAGTCGACCAAATACACACGAGTTCTCTGACGCTACCAAGAAAATGCGATTCAAGAACTTCAACTGTTGGGTCTCTTTTCTGGGTCACAGACTTAGCAAGATTACCCATGCCCACAGTTCCTGCTGCAATCGGCGCCCTCAGCATCCCCTGCCTCCCCTGATGGGACTTGGAGCCGCCGACCGACGCCAGCTTACCCGGCATGACTGTGCCTGCTCCCGCAGGGCCTGGATGCTGCTGCCATAGGCGCTGAGATCCGACATCAGAGCCTCATGCTTCTTCAGTAGAGCCTGAAACCAAGATCACAGAGTGGCCTGCTCAGGGGACAGCTCCCTCTGCACCCGCACACCACCCTCCTCCAGCACCTGCTCAGTCCCACTACGAGGCGTCCCTCCTGTCCTACATAGCTTCCCCCTTTGAATGAACACTTAATTTGGAGAATATACTGAGACAGTATTACCTTGGCTCCCTGTCTTTACGTACTTAAACACGCACGCCTGGACTATAGAGACGTAAGAACAGTGCCGCAGGTGTGGGGGAATCTGCTGCACCTTCAGAACCCACCGCCCCTCGAGGACACGCCCTCGCTGGGCCACCCTTGAGATTCCTCATGCGCCACTGTGGCTGCTTCCAAAGCCTTTCAGTCCTCCCACCTTTGGGCGGTTCACATCAATATTCAACTCATTCTGGTTTTTGTGAAAACCAGCAATGTAAGAGGTAGGGAAGGCACCACCTGCAGCCTCATGAATAACATGCAAGAATTTCAGTCTAAAACCAGCGCTCCTGGGCCTCCCCGGTGGCGCAGCGGTTGAGCGCTGGGTTGCGAAGCTGCCCGCAGCCTCTGCAGCGCCAGTTCGATCCCCGGCTGCTCCCCGGCCACCGGAGGAGGGTCCCACATGGCGCGCAGACCTCTCCTGCCGCCCGCTGCTCCCCTCAGCAGTGTGCTTCGGTCCTTCTGCCTGCTCTGCTCCCCGCTCTGGCTCTGGTGAATTCTCTCACCCTCCCGCGCTTCTGACTGTACCCAGTGCATGTATAAACAAAAAAAAAAAAACAAAGAAAGAAAGAAAGAAAGAAAACATGCCTCTCTATATAAAAAAAAAAAAAAAAAAAAAAAAAATAAATAAAACCAGCGCTCCTGTACATCCGTCTGCATGTGGCAGGGAGCAGCCATGCCAAGGCCAGTGAGTGTTAATGGCTAGAGGTGGCAACAGTCCCCGCTCTCCTTCTGGTGTGACTGAATTTTCACAGTAAAATGTGAAAAGCAGATTCCAAAACACATAGGGGGACAATCGGCACCTGCCTTGCAGAGTCACTTTCCTAAATGGGTCCCCGGCCCCCACCCAGGCAGGCTCCCAAGCTCAGGTCACCTCCGCAGAGTCCTCGTCCTTCCCGTAGTCAGTGCTGCCCACGATGGGCTCCTTCTCCCGCATCCAGGACTCGGCTTCGTTGGCATCAGCGAAGTACTGCTGGGCCTGCAGTGAGTCCTCCAGGTCCTGCCGCCGCTGGGAGGCCTTGGACTTCAGGGACTCCCACTTCTGGTTCAGTTCGTTAAGCTTGGCCTTCACGTCCTCTGCAGCGAAGTGGCCTGGAAGGCAAGTGGGGAGGGAGGCCATGAACGAGAGCGGGCACCGTGGCATGGCCGCTCTCCACCTAGGTGAGTCAAGCCTGGCATGATTCCAAGTTTTAGGTTCAGCCTGGGTTCTAAACCTTAACAGATTTGTTCCTTTTAAGAAGATTTTAAGAAGATTTCCCAAGATGGCACTGGCGACTTTATCACAAAGGGCAAAAAGACAGCCCCCACCGCTCCCGTGCTTGTCCCAAGCTGGGAGCACATGTTGCTGTCCCTGACTCAGATAACAAAGGCAGGTCACAGAGGGAAGTGCCAGTCAAGGTCACACAGAGGAGAATGGGGATGGCGTTCAACACGCTGCCAGCCAAACCCCAGTGCCCACGCTGACCCAAGGGGGCTGGAGAGCAAGAGCAAAGGCCTCCTGCAACAGCCACACACCTTCCTCCACCATGGCGTTCCCCTTTTGTGTGACTGCTTTGATGCGGGGCTCATGTCCAGCAATCTCTGCCTGCAGGGCTTGGTGTTTCTTCAGCAGGTTCTGGACTCCGATCAGATCTTTGCCTGAAAGCAGCAATGACCCCCGCGTCACCCACGTCATCAAGAAGTTGTTAGCACCATCACTTGGCTTCCACCATGGCTAAACCTGACCTTGCCCGTGCTACGTTTAGCCCCCTTTATGCCACAAGGGAGACCCTTTTCCCAATTGATTCCCATCAAGGGAGACTGACCTCTGTTGGTGGACGCAGCAATGGGCTCTTTTTCTCGAATCCACGTCTCCTCATCCTCAACATCACGGAAAAGCTGCTGCAGACGCAGGGAATCAGCCAGCTTCTGCTTTCGGGCAATCATGGGCTCCTTCAGAGCCTCGTAGCGAGCCACTAGCGCCTCTTGCTTCTTCTTAATGTTTTCCGCATCAAAATGGCCAGCATCCTGGAACTGGCGGGCCTGAATGGTGATGCCATCGATTCGATCCTGGAAATGGGAAAGGCAGACTCTTGAATGCTTGGACAGGCCTGGGTACAGTGTTCTGGATATTTCTAGGCAGGCTTTATTACATTGGGGGTGGTGTGATCACACACAAGGAAAAGTCAGCGTGGTCCTTTCCACCCTCAGAGCAGTCCTTCTGCCATCTCGCTCCCAGAAGGCTCTGAGGAAGGACAATTCATCTTGAGCAGGACATAAGGTTCTCTAAGAACATCGACACATTGGGCCTCCCTGGTGGTGCAGCGGTTGAGCGCTGGGTTGCGAAGCTGCCCGCAGCCTCTGCAGCGCCCGTCGGTTCAATTCCCGGCTGCTCCCCAGCCACCAGAGAAGGGTCCCACATGGCGCGCAGACCTCTCCTGCCACCCGCTGCTCCCCTCGGCAGTGTACTTCGGTCCTTCTGCCTGCTCTGCTCCCTGCTCTGGTGAATTCTCTCACCCTCCCGCGCTTCTGCCTATACCCAGTGCTTGTATAAGTAAGTAAATAAATAAATCTTAAAAAAAAAAAAAAAAAAGAACACCGACCATTTCTTCCATCCCCAAGCTAGTCCGGTCTCCAAATCACCCTGTCTGTGTTCACCATGGCGCGCCCAGCCCACCCTCTACCTGGTGCGCAGCCACGTCAGCCTCCAGCAAGGCGTGCTTCTTCTGGAGATTCTGGACGTTGGTGAGATCCTTGCCGTAGTCATCTGAGGCCAGGTGGCCCTCCACCTCGTACAGCCACAGCTCAATGTCCTCCACATTGCGGTTAAACTGCTGCTGCTGGTTGGCCTCCCGGAGCTTGATTCCTGGTCAAGGGGCAAGTTTAGCTTTCTGCGTGTGAGCATCGCCCTCTGTCTGTGCTGCTCACTGTGGTGGTGTCTTAGCAACAGATAAGTAAGGCTTTTAGTTTGGCTGTACCTCTATTTGAAAGGCAGAGAAAACAAACTGCACCCTCCACTCTCCCTTCTAGATGCTGAACTGGAGGCTGTTTAAGCAGCGAGACAGAGGCTGCGTCTCTGGGCTCACTGCTGAACCTCGAGGCCCCAATCAGTCAAGGCCAGTCGGCCACACCACCCTTTTCACTCT